TTCAGGCCCCTTGACTTTTCCCACATTTTGTTACAGCCTTATTTTAAAATGGATTAAATCAATTTTTTCCCCCTCAATCTACACACACAACCCCATAATGACAAAGCAAAAACTGATTTTTTGAAATGTTTGCAGATAAAAAAAACAAAAATATCACATTTACTTAAGTATTCAGACCCTTTACTCAGTACTTTGTTGAAGTACCTTTGGCAGGGATTACAGCCAAGTGTTCTTGGGTAAGACGCTACAAGCTTGGCACACCTGTATTTGGGGAGTTTCTCCCTTTCTTCTCTGCAGATCCTGTCAAGCTCTGTCAGGTTGGATGGGGAGCGTCGCTGCACAGCTATTCTCAGTCTCTCCAGAGATGTTCGATCAGGTTCATGTCCGGGCACTAGCTGGGCCACTCAAGGACATTCAGAGACATGTTGCAAAGCCACTCCTGCGTTGTCTTGGCTGTGTGCAACAGGACAACAGGTCGTTGTCCTGTTGGAAGTTGACCCTTCACCCCGCTCTGGAGCAGGTTTTCATCAAGGATCTCTCTGTACTTTGCTCCGTTTATCTTTCCCTCAATCCTGACTAGTCTCCCAGTCCCTGCCGCTGAAAAACATCCCCACAGCATGATGCTGCCACCACCATGCTTCACGGTAGGGATGGTGCATAGTTTCCTCCAGATGTGACGCTTAGCATTCAGGCCAAAAAGTTCAATCTTGGTTTCATCAGAACCGGGGAATCTTGTTTCTCATGGTCTGAGAGCCCTTTAGGTGCCTTTTGGCAAACTCCAAACAGGCTGTCATGTGCCTTTTTAATGAGGAGTGGACTCCATCACTCTACCATAAAGGCCTGATTGTTGGAGTGCTGCAGAGATGGTTGTCATTCTGGAAGGTTTCCCCATCTCCACAGAAGAACTCTGGAGCTCTGTCAGAGTGACCATCGGGTTCTTTGTCACCTCCCTGACCAAGGCCCTTCTCCCCCGATTGCTCAGTTTGGCCAGGCGGCCAGCTCTAGGAAGAGTGTTGGTGGTTCCAAACTTCTTCCAATCAAGAATGATGGAGGCCACTGTGTTCTTGGGGACCTTCAATGCTGCATTTTTTGGTACCCTTCCCCAGAGCTGTGCCTCGACACAATCCTGTCTCGGAGCTCTATGGACAATTCCTTTGACCTCATTGCTTGGTTTTTGCTCTGACATGCACTGTCAACTGTGGGACCTTATATAGACAGGTGTCTGCCTTTCCAACTCATGTCCAATCAATTGAATTTACCACAGTTGGGACTCCAATCAAGTTGTAGAAACATCTCAAGGATGATCAATGGAAACAGGATGCACCTGAGCTCATTTTCGAAGTCTCATAGCAAAGGGGCTGAATACTTATGTAAATAAGGTATTTTTGTTTTTTATTTGTAATACATTTGCAAAAATTTTTAAAAATAACTGTTTTCACTTTGAAACTTGGCCATAGAATCAATGACATAAAAACGTATTTTCAACATCCAGGAAGTAAGCATTTTTCTGGCTCAATCAGAACCTAAAATGAACCTATCTTTAACGTCTGGAAAAATATGTATTTTAAACATCATTTTGCTTACTGGGACACACATGCAGCACATGTATAAAACTAAAGAAGTATGAAAACGCTTCTCCCTTCATCCTCTTTGTCTTCTCTGGAGTTTTACGGTGGTTTGCACATAGGCTATATAGACTTTCTAGTCTCATTTAAAAAGGTGATTCTAACCTCAGTCACTACTGGCATGATTAGAGGTCTTCTCACCATAATTTCACTACCCTAAAAGTTGTAATCAATCAACAATAAAAATGCAGTTAATAAGAGACCATACAAAATGTATACACAAAATCAGAGGAACATATTTTATTACAAGAACAACTTGACAGCAATTCATTTTCAAGGAACAAATGAAGTCTTGGTATTGCAGTATTGCTATTTAATACAGACAAATTCCACAATGTCAAGCACTCTTCATTTATTAAGTCATTGTTTGATAGAAGATAACATCAGCAAATAACGCTTAAACACTGAAATAAATTCAAATGAACATTCAAAATGTATGTTACGATCAGTTTCATTTCATTACTTTTTATTATGCCATTTAGACAGATTTCAGAGATAAAAAGGGAGCGCAAAAGAGAGAAAGAAAGTTATGGAATTTACAAAGCAGCATTTGACAAACAAAAACCAAGCGCACAATGTAGAGTTGACATGCAACTTTGCACCCTAAGATAATTTTTTACTAGATAATCATTTTGCAATCATAGTTGAATTGACAAACTCAATCATTAGCCTGCGTTTTTCTTATTGTAACAAAAATGTAACACTACTGGTAAAACCTGTCACCTGCTAACCCATCATGCATGTTTTAATATTTTAAACATATTACATAATTGAACAATGTAATTGAAAATGAAAATAAAACATATATATATATATATATATATTTTTTTTTTTTTAAAGACCGCTACATGTAAAAGCAATGAAATGAAATGGTTGATCAACTTCTCATTGGGTCAGAGAAGAGAGAAAATGTATGTTGGCTAATAATGCAAACAGAGCCTATATGGCAGTGGAGGGTAAATATTTTTAAACTATCTTTGAGCAGGTAAAAGCCTAGGCAGTGTGTGTAAGCTGGCTCATTCCTGTGTAGTCATCAACAAAACCTGTGACACTCTTGGATTGGCTATATTCATTGCTGGAGTGTTCCCTTTATACGGCAAATAAATTCAGATTCAGGAACTTTTAAAAGCATAACAGCATCTGCTGTACTGTGTCTATTTGGTTGATGTGTGGACATTAATTGGCAAGATGAAACATGTTAAAAGCAAATATTTTAACAATCAAAAGACAAACCTCAAAAATAGTACACCACCACCATCCATCACCTATGGTCTCAACTGTCTGCAGAGATTGGATTAGGTCCCTGGAACCTTGTGCATTACTGAACTATGGGCTCTGGTTAAAACCATTAGGAACCACAGTTCTAACACCATTTTGTATTTATTTTTTATAACTTATTTTGGGCTCTCACTGGCTTTAGATTCTAAATAAATAAATATGACCAACAACATCCCTCATTCTTTTCTTCAACAACGCTACCTACATTCCCATGTACACCAGAACACCTGGTACATAATCCTATACAGAATGTACACTCAGATTCAGTTTACTGAAAGACGTACACACACAAACAAACTCTTTCCACTCAGCTTGTGCCATCCATTTACTGAAAACCCACTGCAGCACAGTCCCTGTCATTCTACTGTAAAACCATTCATAGCAGTCTTACAAGCTCCAAAGCCCTGTTAAAGTGCCAACACCACAGTCGTATCCATGGCCTGCTGTTATTGATAATACCAATAAGGCAAGAGTCTATAACAGGGGACAGACGTATCCATTCCACCATCTATTATTCATGTCCATTCTCCAGATAACACCATTCAATAAATACCTACACATATTCTTAAATCATTTCAATACACCAAACAATACATCATGATGAACAATCATCTGCTCCAAACCAGTCTAGCGAACTCAATCTGTGAAGGAATTTCATTCAAATGAGACCATCTTTTTTCAACCACTAGATGTCACTGAAGGTCATTTGATGAGAGAGTGGTTCGTCTATGTATCTATCATACAAATCCATCTCAAATAATATGTTGATTTTTATTTAGTGTTTTTGGACAATTCAAAATGTTGAGAAAAAAACTGATGGTGATGGCAATGAATTGACACTCAGAGTGGATGGGTGTTGTTGTTGGGCACTAACATTCTCAAACCACACTCACACACACATTTTAAGGCAAAGGGAATTGTCAAGGCATTTCCAACAGCAATATTGCATAGCTAAGGCAGCATAGAACCCCATACAGCGAATATTTACACATTTCATAATACATTTGTTATATACACTATAGCCACATCTTTATGCAAGTATACATGTACACGTTTATGCACATTCATCCACTTTTGTACACATATTTTAGTGTTGATTTCCAAGTTCAGATAACTCTTGATCATTGGAAATATTCAACATTGCTGTTTCAGTGACAATGACACATAATCCTTTTACTCTTACCCCAGACTGCAGTTAACACAGAAAATAATGTGAAAAATCCTACTTTGTATATTTTCACACTAAAAGCTCAAAAACCAGACATCACTCAATCATGGCCATGTGGATTGGCAGTGAGAAAGTGACATCATACATGTATGGCAATGAACAAGTCAGGATGCAGGGAGCTGGTGGCAGAAGGTGAGTAGTAGTGCACATATAGAATATGTAGTGTATAAAGTCCAAAGGACTGTTATTTGTGAACATTGTACAGTAAAGTATTGTAGAGTATTGTTTTTATATACGAGTCCAATACAGATTAGATCTGTAAAGATGTCCACAGAAGGGGGTAACTAGCAGAGCGTGAGTGGCAGTATGGAGATGAGCAAGAAAGTATCTCTCCACACCAGTATTTTGACAATTAAAGCAGACATAGATGCTGTAGCATACACTGTCCACTAGAGGGAGTCAGTAGGTTGACTTGATGATGCTAGTGATTTACTGCTCCTACCTGGGGTTCTTTCCTCTTCCTCAGTCCTGGCACTTCTTCATGCCCCTCAGCGATGCATAAGACACCACATATGTTCTCTCTCTCTCTATGGTGGCAGCAAAACATGGGGCTTTCAAGACAGCTGCCTGTCTTGTATTAGACACTTTATGATTGATCAAAACATCCCCATAATTACAAAGAAACCATTCAACTTAAACAATAGCCTTAGATTCTGGATCAATCCTTTGGTAATAAATAACTAGGTTTCGAGTGCAAAGAATAGAATGGGATAGTGAAACCCTGACCATTATAGACAGGAAAGGGCCTAAGTGACAAAAAGAGTGAGTGTGCAACTGACATGCTGTATAAAAAATAGTCTGTAGCCCAGTCTTTTCATTTGACAACAAATTGTTCTGTATCAGCATCATCATGATTAGTTAGTTGTGTGCTACATCCAGGCCTCAGTGTCCAGGCCACTCCCTGACTGTACGGAGTAGGTGCTGCCCATGGCGGGGGAGCATGACTGGGGGTGGATTAGGTCGCCGAAGGCCTGGTGCAGGGCCTTGCGTGAGGCTGGGTGGCCGTTGGAATGTGAGCTCTGAGGGGACTGTGGTGGAGAGGGGGTGTGGAGGGGGGTGAGGTTGCCCCCGGCCTGCAGGTCTCTGTAGCTGACTGGGGTGGGGATACGTGACGGGCTGTTCTCTGGCCGGTTGTCTGTACGGGGTCTGATCCGGGGCCTCAGCTTGAGCTTGTAAATGGAGGGCACCCTGTCAGCCTTCTTCCCTGCCCTCTTGGGCCGGAGGACAACACTCCCATCAACAGCATCCCTATTGGCTAGGGAAGGAGGTGGAGGAGAGGACTCTGAGCGTGATTCACTCAGGCTGAAGCACATGGAGGAGCTCTCACTGGAGGAGTCTTCCTGGAAGGAGCAGTCCTTAGAGGGGGGCAGGGGGATGGGTGAGGGACAAGACTCTGGGGGAGGGAGGTCATCGTTGGGGTCTCCATCCTCCAGGTCGTAGGGGAAGCTTGGTTGGCGATCCTCCAGAGGGACATCTCCCTCAGGCCCTGAGCCCCAGCCCAGCTGACCCTGCTGGCTCTCCATCAGCACCTCTCCTGGAGCACCACTGACATGGCCCCCATTCATGCTCCTGGGGTTAAAAGGAAGTTGGGAGGGGGTATGGCTGAGAGGTATGCCCAGTACTGAGTCTTTCCGGCCAGGAAAGGAGGACAGGAGCTCCCCTTCCTCCATGGAACTGGAGATGGCAGGGAGCTTCCTGAGACCTCCACCTCGCCCGCTCCAGCGCTCTGGTTCTGTGTGCCCACCATTAGATAATCCGCCCGGGCTATGGCCATGCAGTGGGGCCAGGGTATCCTCTAGTCCTCCACAGAAATGTGAGTTAGTTCTCTTGGACTCCCGGAGGTCAGGCAGAGCTCCTATCTTCCCCCCCACGTTGAGTGAGGAGGTGGAGGAATTGGAGGAGGAGTAGGCCGAGTCAGTAACGTTAGGGTCAGCAGAGGCAGGTGTGCGGAGGATTTGAGTCCCAACCCCCTGCTGTGGGTGTGAGGAGGTGGGCAGCTGAAGGGTGCCCCCCCCTGTGGGTCTACTGGGCCCCTGCCCTGTGTTAGCCAGGAACTCAGCCTCAAAGCTGCGGTACAGGTCCTGCTCCTTCTGGGGGTCCAGATTGGGCAGCATCTGGAAGTTATAACCTAGCCCCTCCTCCTGGGGTTCCTGTCGCTCAGAGCCGGCCAACCCCCTGTGGCCATGCCCATTGGAGCGAGGGCCGTGGGAGGTTCGAGGGGAGCGGGGTCCACGCCCATGGTGGTGAGAGGAGCGGGGGGAAGAGGAGTGAGGAGAGCGTCGGCCTGCCTGGGAGACTGGGGGCAGCAGCCTACTCTTCCCTACCGAGGGGGAGCGTGGAGCGGGGGGCCTGGGAGCCACCATAGTCTTCTTACTGGGGCTGCTGCTCTGAAGCCCTTTGATAGGTGAATTAGAGCAGGAGGACGATTGTCTCCTGGAAAAACCTCCACTGATTCTGGGGGAGGCGGGGGGCAGTTGTTTGGCCCTCAGCTCCTCTCGTCTGTCAGAGGATGGGGGCTGAGAGGCCCCGTGACGGGGAGAGGATCCATGGCTGGCATCGCTGGTCTGACTCCGGCTGGGCATCTTCCCCTGGCTGTGGGAGCGCGAGGCCTGGACCCTGCGGGGGCCTTCGGGCCCCAGAGAGCGGCCCCTGTCCCCACGACTGGTCCTGAGCCCGTCAGAGGGGCCCTGTGGGGGGCTGGGTTTGAGGATGGCGGCAGGGGCAGGGCGTTCCCGGGAGTGGCTGCGTGCGCGGGGCATTGGGGGGCACAGGGCTGGGATCTGACCTCCTCCTCCAGGCCTTTTGATCAAATGCTTCCCCTCCTTCCTGTTGACCAGCAGGACCACCTCCTCTCCGGAGCGACGGGTGCCTCCCAGAGATGAGCGGCCTCCCCCTGCCCCTCCTCCTCCTCCCTTAGAGGAGGCTGTAGAGGAGTCGCTGTCCCCTGATAGACGGCGGGTCACTGTCATCAATGACGAGTCATTAAACCTTCAGAACACAGAGGGAGGAAGACAGACAGGGAGTTATTTATAGTTATCTTTTATTTATTTCTGGCCTTAGTACATTTTATCATTGGAATAAAATAAATATCACATTATCCTGTCCAACACAACTTTTTGAACATTCATAACAGTTTGAGAAAAACAACATGCTCAGAGCCCATTCTCCATGCTCCCCCCACTCCCCTGGCCCTGACAGGTTTACAGTAAACACCATCCACCTCCAGTCCATGACGGGACCTGTGACCTGTGTGTGACCTCCAGGGATCATGAGGAACCTCCCTGCAGGCCTGCTGCTGCCTACCCTGACTGACACACGTAGGGCTCGGTGCTTCTCGGAACACTGGGCTGGATCAGGCTCAGGGATTACAGGGAAAATGAGAGCAAGTGGGGGCAGGATTATAGGCCCTATGGATTTACTCTGCACTCCCAGAGCTCACCACACCACTCCACTGTCACGCACCAGTGGGCCCCTCAGGACAACTTACCATCCTAGAGAGGATACACTTGATTTACAGTAAGATAGGAACACAATCAGTAGAGCTCTGTAGCAGTGGCCACAACAACAACATGATAGACATGTGCTCTCTGGCAATATCCTGTATTAAGCATTAACTTTATCCATTTTCTTTATTGACATTCTTTATGTAACCACTTCTATAATGCTCTGTGAAACCATAACAAACAATCAAGAAAAGAGTATTGCACATTATATAAACAGGGCTAAATAAATATGAGTGACTGAATTGATAATTTTATCAAATATTGACTTTGCCATTTAAAATAATGACTTAGTCAAACAAATATTGACAGAATTCTGACGGCTTGAAATAACGAAGCACATGGGGTTTTCCCTCCAGATTAGCCCACCTGAAACTTACTTCCTGGGGGGAGCAACAGGGCCTGGGGGGGCGTCATTCAGATGAACCCTTATCTAGTCTGGTGCACTTGGAGGTGCTGATCCTGAAGGGGTTAACCTGTACCAAGGCCTGTTGCCGTGACGCCTGGCCTGAACCATCACTCACTCCGGATACTCAGCCACTCATTGGCCGTGAGCCAAATTAAACGAGCCCATAGGCCTTCATTGTATTGAACAATGGCATCTGCACACACTGACGTATGAGGGAGGTATGTAAGACCAACAACACTCAACGGACATTATGTGGAGAGCTGAGGGATTTCACTCTCTTTACTGACCAGAAAATAGTTTTATAGGCAATAAAATACCAATACTCTGACTGTCGTGCCACTTCAGTCAGAGACATCAGCAGAAAAAGGGAGATGTGTTTTTCCTCCAGTACAATCAACAGGCACCCTAATTCTATCCATCAGCTCTGGCTGTAATTAATGGAGCCATAGGAAAGGAGGGAGAAGAGGGGTCGAGAGGGAGGGAGAGGGGGAGGTGACGGCAGCAATCAAGGTGTGTGCCCAGTCTGGCCACCAGGAGGCAGAGTGGTATGGCTGGGAGGGCAGGACTGTGTCAGCGCAATGTCACCTTAGATTAGGAAAATCTGCCTTGTGTAATTTGACGCCTCCCAGTTTTGTGTTTGTGGGTTGGTGTGTGGGCGGGTGGGCGGTGAAAAGTGGATCAGTGCTGGTGATGCAGACAAAGACGATGAAGTGTCATTAGCACAACACAACACACCACAACACAACACAACACAACACACCACACCACAACACAACTCACCTGAGAGGGTTGAAGTGTCGTGGTTCTGTGCGGTCCCGCGGTGGTCGTGGTAGTAGGGGGGTGCGTCCTGTGTTGGAGTCGAGCTCCGTGGGGAGGGAGGGGTGGTGGGAGCGGCCAGGCCGGGTGGAGGAGGGGGCACAGGGGGCACACTGAGGCTCCAAGCCCTGGGAGCGTCTGTCAGGCGGCTTATAGGGGGCAATGCCCTCATTACGCCAGTGTGGGCCTGGGCTGGTGGAGCGGGAGGAGTGGGCGCTAGAGGACTTGCTGTGGGAACCCTGCCCGCTGGCTTTGGCCTGGTGATACCGGTGAGCTGCAAGGAACAAGAACAGACACAATACCACAATATTAGTAGAGGCTTAGGTTCCATACCATGGATAATAAGAACAACTGTGCAGATTACTCCAGCATCAGACAGACATAGAATAGAATAGATTGAGGGTTGGATCCAGGGATCAACATAGCATACATAGCATGAATCCTTCACAACTGGTGCAGGAGATGAAGCAACTGAGGAATCAGATGAATAATGTAAGGCATGATGATCTTGACTTTGGAGTAGACCTACAGTTCATAACCTGTAGACCTGTAAAAACATGTCATATTTATGAAGTTGAGGAGATCATGGGTTAGAAATGCAACACCAAGCATTACTTCAGCCTCAGTCAGCTGTGCAGACACAAGGCCACTGACATCATCAGTCTGGCAGTGTTAACTCATGGAGAAGGAAGAGCTCTTCTATCCACATGGTTTAAAGCCTTGACACCAGGTATTATTCCACTACTGCCTGCCTATCACGCTATCATGGAAGGTTAAACATGAACTGATATGAATGGTTATGGCAGCCATCAGGTCATGTTTATGAGGGCGTGATGAGGGCTTTATGACAGTGGAGGCTGCTGAGGGGAGGACGGCTCATAATGATGGCTGGAACGGAGCGAATGGAATGGTATCAAACCATGTGTTTGATGTATTTGATACCATTCCACTGATACCGCTCCAGCCATTACTACGAGCCCGTCCTCCCCAATTAAGGTGCCATCAATCTCCTGTACTTTATGAGTAAGGTGTAGTGTTGTATGAAAGGCCATTGACATGATCCTGAATAAGGTAGCACTATGGTAACACTAGGGTAGCACTAGGGTAACACTATGTTAGCACCATGGTAGCACTATAGTAGCACTATGGTAACACTATGGTAACACTATGTTAGCACCATGGTAACACTATGGTAACACTATGTTAGCACCATGGTAGCACTATGGTAACACTATAGTAGCACTATGGTAACACTATGGTAACACTAGGGTAACACTATGGTAACACTATGTTAGCACCATGGTAGCACTATGGAAGCACTATGGTAACACTATAGTAGCACCATGGTAGCACTATGGTAACACTATAGTAGCACTATGATAACACTATGTTAGCACCATGGTAACACTATAGTAGCACTATGGTAACACTATGGTAGCACCATGGTAACACTATAGTAGCACTATGGTAACACTATGGTAGCACCATGGTAACACTATAGTAGCACTATGGTAACACTATGTTAGCACCATGGTAGCACTATGGTAACACTATGGTAACACTATGTTAGCACCATGGTAGCACTATGGTAACACTATAGTAGCACTATGGTAACACTATGGTAACACTATGGTAGTACTATGGTAGCACTATGAAGACTGTGTGAATGTACTGTAGTTGTGTCAAAGGAACCGATCTCGTAATCCCAAGGTTGCATAAACCTTATAGTGTAAGCTTGTGTACAACTCCTGACCTGAGTTATATCAGATAACCTGCTCAAATGGATACAATTGTAAACCAATTGTGAGCATCATACAGACTGAGAATGAGATGCAATAGAGTACAATATCATACAATAAAATACAACTCAGTGACTATAAAGTGTAAAGGGCTGGTTGTTTGGGAAGAGGTGACCTCACCAAAGGCAGCACAGCGGCAGGGATCATGCTTGTCCAGATAGTGTTCTAATGTGTCCCATCCCCCGCCCACACGCACCATCACATGAGTACGTAGGACCTGAGGAGAGAGAGAGAGAGAGAGACAAGGTTACTCCTGGGCTCCCGAGTGGCGCAGCGGTCTAAGGCACTGCATCTCAGTGCTTGAGGCGTCACTACAGACGACCTGGTTCGATTCCAGGCTGTATACCAGCCGTGATTGGGTGTCCCATAGGGCGGCGCACAATTGGCCCAACGTCGTCCGGGTTTGGCCGGTGTAGGCCGTCATTGTAAATAAGAATTTGTTCTTAACTGACTTGCCTAGTTAAATAATAAAAAAAAAAATTAAAACATAGCATCCATTCACACATGCACTCTCATAATGAAGACTAGAGAGAGAGAGTTGATACTATGAAGCTTAGCACACACACACACACACACGTACAAACACACAACCAAGCGCACATACACAACCATTTGGGCACACACATACACACAAAAGCACACACATTGCACTCTCATAATGAAGACTAGAGAGAGAGAGTTGATACTATGAAGCTTAGCACACACGTACAAACACACAACCAAGCGCACATACACAACCATTTGGGCACACACATACACACAAAAGCACACACACTGTTTAAAAAACTGAAGTGATGTTTAAACCCAGTGACACGGTGCGATACCACACAGACTGCAGATCAAGTCAATAGATATGTCAATCCTACAAGTGGGGCAGCATGCTGAGCGCTTGGCCCTGAATCCCTCCCCCTGCCCCCAAAGTTACGTAACACTCCCATCAGATTGCACTCTGCTAGCGCCCCTGCTCCCCTCTCTCTTCCCCGTCAGCTGGCTTCCCCATGCTTTCAGAGTGTGTGGGGGGTGGGGGATGAATTAGCATGGTAACATCTTATCCTTGCCCTCCTCTCTGCTACGATTTCAGCTAGAAGCGACGAGAGGGGGGTGAGAGAGAGAAGAAAGGGGAATAGGAAAAAAGAGGAGCGCTCTGCACATTGATGCACAAACAGACCCAGTGTGTCTCTCTCTCTATCTCTCTCCCCTGCAGGCAGATGGCTTCCTTACAGCAGAGAGAGAGGCTGTATGTTTAGCCTGATGTGATGGTCTCGTGGATGCAGCCTCGCCGGTCTGCCTCCTCTCTGGGTTGTGTAACCACTGCTGCCAGCCACATGTTTCATTCAGGGGCTGTGCCCGTGTTTCTGCGGCCAGGCCAGGCCAGGCCACGAGGGTTCATTGGTGTGTGAGTTGGAGCTGGCAGTGAGCCAGGCTGCATCAAATCACATGTGGCCATGCATGACTTCCCAAACTCAGTACAGGGCACTACCCACAGCCAGGGGAGACAGGCACAGCAGGACAGCTGCTCCTGCTCTACCACATGTCCTCTGCTGCTCTTCAACATGCCCACCACCGCCAGCACACTGTCTGTCTGCAAAACAGCTGTCCTCCCCTGCCTTACTTCTTCTTTTCTAGCTCTGGTACTGCTGCTACTCTACTAATACTATGCTGTCTGTCCTGAGATGGTTAGTCTCATTCATAGCCGTTCCCATGTGATGGTAAATAGCTAATTCTCTACTTCTGGCCTATTGTCTATAGCTGGTCCACTGCCTGACCTAGACCAACTGTGAGGACCATGATAAGGATGAGTTTCTTCCCTGGTACCAGTGATGCTCCAGTTGTCTGCCTCAGCAGCCAGCTTTGAGCCAATCCATCAGTGATGGGGGGGTATCCCACTCTCCACAACTTTGGAGAACCAACTCCTGTTTCTATGGCAATGGGGTTCAGAGACTACTTGTAATTGCAATGGGGTCGGAGTAAAACAATTCCCTCTCAATTCAGGCTTGAAGTTTTAAGCTCATGGCTCGTCTGACGCTGTACCACAACTCAAAGCACCCCTCCATTGTACAGGGGGGACCTCCCTGGGCAGGTCCGCCCCATTCGCTCTCCTCCATTTATTTATCCCCCCCTTTTTCCCCTCACTTCCTCCCTCTCTCCTCCATCTACCCCTCTAGCCTGAGCTTCTTGTCAGGCTTTGGCAGCTGAATGGGGCCTGTTGGCTTTGATGGTGGCATGCAGATGAATAGGGAAGCGTGTTGGCTAGGCTGTAATAGTGGCTGCTGGGGGATATGCATAATCACTGTCCTCCTCAGTAAGAGAGGGCGGAGACAGTGCTGAGGGGGGTTAATCTGACAGAGAAACGTCTCCCCTACACACAATCTTCAGGCAGGCTTTACACTAAGATGTGTGGCACACTTCAAACACACTGCCACTACTACACTTGAGTTTAACACTTTACCTGCTTTAAAAGCCATTACACTTGAGTTTTAACACTTCATTTGCTTCTACATCTGCATTGCTTGCTGTTTGGGGTTTTAGGCTGGTGTAAAAAGGGCTTTATAAATAAATGTTATTGATTGATTGATTCTAACACAGCCACTGCACTAGAGATAACACTTTAATATTACCTGCTTCCAAAACAGCCATTACACTTAGGTTTAACATACTGCACATGTAAGGCATTTCTAAAACAGGCACTCCCCTACATACCATACAGCCAAACATACAGTCAATCATACAAGCTTTAAGAAACGTTTAACAGAGACGTCTCACTGAGGTGTAACCAATGATTTATATACTGAACAAAAATATAAACGCAACATGCAAAAATGTCAACGATTTTACTGAGTTACAGTTCATTTACGGAAATCAGTCAATTGAAATAAATTCATTAGGCCTTAATTTATGGAGGGCATAGGCCCACCCACTTGGCAGCCAGGCCCACCCACTGGGGAGCCAGGCCCAGCCAATCAGAATGAATTTTTCCCCACAAATGGGCTTTATTATTACAACATTGAGCAAAATGCTCGCTAACAGGGATGTAAACAAATTTGTGCACAACATTTGAGACAAATAAGCTTTTTGTGTGTATGGGAAATTTTATCTCAGCTTATGAAACATGGGACCAACAATTTGCATGTTGCGTTTATATTCTTGTTCAGAATACATAGCCCAGTGGAGGCTGCTGAGGGGAGAACGGCTCATAGTAATGGTCAGAACGGAGCAAATGGAATGGCATCAAATACCTGGAAACCATGTGTTTTTGATGCATTTGATACCATTCCACTGATTCCGCTCCAGTCATTACCACAAGCCTGTGACATCAAATCAAATCAAATTGTATTGGTCACATGCGCCGAATACAACAGGTGCAGACATTACAGTGAAATGCTTACTTACAGCCCTTAACCAACAGTGCATTTATTTTAACAAAAAAAGTAAAAATAAAACAACAACAAAAAAAGTGTTGAGAAAAAAAGAGCAGAAGTAAAATAAAATAACAGTAGGGAGGCTATATATACAGGGGGGTACCGGTGCAGAGTCAATGTGCGGGGGCACCGGCTAGTTGAGATAATTGAAGTAATATGTACATGTGGGTAGAGTTAAAGTGACTATGCATAAATAATTAACAGAGTAGCAGCAGCGTAAAAAGGATGGGGTGGGGGGGGCAGGAATACATTCTTGTGAATTGTATTCCTTGTGTCATTATTTTTGTTCAGTGTATATACACTAGATGACTGACAGGGGGGCGCTGTGTTGAAGCCACCACACCTCTGCCTTGGCACTCACCCCAGCCAGGTCACCCGTGATACAAGTCAGTATTCAAAGTCCATCTATGTCTGAGGACATCGGGAGATGATGTGTAAACTGGCCTCTAGGGGCAACAGTAAGCGCTGTTACCTTCAAGTAGGTTTCGGTTTAGCTACAGCTTTGTGGACGGGGATGGCAGATGGAGGTAAGCATCTGCCTCTGATGCCAAAGGTTGCATGTACAAATCCAGCAATAAAAAAATATTTTTGTTTTAAGCTTATCCAAAACCTTAACCCTTACCTTAACCATTCTGAGTTAATGCCTAAACTTAACCCTAACCTTAAAAATGTGGAGGTAATGCCTAAACTTAACCTTAAACACTTTTTGAGAAACATGGCTCAACGTCTAATTCTGACATGAGACTGTGAGAGCTTGTTGCTCCCCCACCATTAAAACAAATATTTTAGAAGCCACAGAAATGCATTTACTAATGTCTACATTTGTTTTTGCCACGTTTATTCTATTACAGTCGCCTTAAAGCATACTTTTGCATTATATTATGTGAACTAAACATACAAATAAAACATTTAAATATATGTAATTTTGTCCTTGAAACATTTTAAATGAAATACTGTAGAATTCCATTCCTTCCTATGGAGGACTGTTTTTCTGAGGAGTGCAAACATGGCTTCAAAGCCTCTCATTGGCCAAAGCACAGCATCAGCAATCCAGGGTTTATATACATAATTGGGTGTAACAGCATAGCATATATCCTAACATACACACTGTGCTTTTAACGGACCTACATGACACTCCATTTTATACTAAAAGTCTGAGCTTCCTAATATAACAGTGGAAATATTGACAGCATTAGGCAGTAAGGCAGACATTCTGGAAATGCATACGATTTGGAATGGCATCCGTTGAGTCCATTAATTGGGCGGAGGTACATGGGAGGTAAGTGAAACAGAATCAATCTATCAGGCGGACTGCCTTTCTGAAGGCAGAGGCCCGGGGGGCGAGATAGACAGACTGAGTCACACAGCTCTGCAGAAACAAGCAGCAGAGCAGGCCAGATAAGGGCCCGCACAGGAAATGACCCAAAGCTCTATTTGTGTCTTGCTGGACCAGCATGTATGGGAGAAGGGAGGTCTGGGTCAGCCAGTAGGGAAGTACTAAGAGGCAGAGCAGACCATTGGGAATAGGTCAGATCAGTGGAGACTGTAAACAATATGCAGACTGGACTGTTGAGAGTGAAATCACTGTACATACTGTAGTTTGGGGGACTTTAATCATATCAACCGGATGGTTTGTTTGTTTGACCCGTTTTGGTTTTCTTTGCAGCAACATGTTTTGCTACATGCCTCCATTGTAATACTGTGTAAGCAGCCATCAAAACAGCAGCATATGAACATTTGACAGTCAAAATTAAATTGCTCCAGGGCATAATATTAACTG